AGCGTCTTTTTTTTAAGAATTATTTTATTTATTTTTATTTATTTTATTTTAATTTGACCAGAGAGGGACAGAGTGAGAGAGAGAGAGGAAAAGTGAGAAAGCAAGCTGCCAGGTCTGGGACTCGAACCACGGTTTGCCATGTAGGACTCCAGAGCCCCTTAACCACCATATCACCTGCTGGACGCCCCCGACAACAGGGTCTTGACAGACCTCAGTTCCCTTTCCCTAGCCCTTCAACTGCTCAGCATCTTGGACACTTGCACCCTCACATGACATGTTTCCGGTCCACTCAGGATCTGAACCCACGGTCGGCCATGTGTCTTCCAGCACTGTTGATTAGTAACTTTCACCTGTGCCAAAATGGCTGGGCCTCTCTTCTTCCTTTCTCGGTATATAGTGGCACTTTGTTTCCTGAAGAGTTGTACCAGTTTCCCCTGTACGAGCCGTGTGGGAGGTACCTTTCTCACCACCTTTACCAATATGGATATTATTTTCTTAAGCTCTGTGCTGGGGCCAGCAGGTGGCATGGTGGCGAAGGTGCTGGACTCCCACATGGCTGACTACAGTTCGAGTCCTGGACTCAGTGGCATGAAACTCAGGCTGTGTGTGTGTGTGTGTGTGCACCCCAAATCCCTAGATGAGAGTGGAGGAGAAGGGATTGTGATGTGGCCTAACTTCTGGGGATGAGGGGAATAATTCTTTCTTCTCACTGTCTCTGGCAAGCTCATGTGCCCTGGGGCAAAACCCTAAATAAATAAATAAGTAAATAAACTCTGTGCCAATGGTGAAGGCGACCAGACATGGCTAACTGTGCGGTTTGAGTCCCAGACCCAGTGGCTTGAAAAACACACTGGGCACGTGTGTGCATGCCGCAGATCCCAAGAGGAGAATGGGAGAGAAGGGATTGAGGCATGGCCATCCCCCTGGGAGCATCTCACTTTCCATCTCTGTGTTTCTGTCTCTCTAATCACTGCACATGCCTCATGGCAAAAAACGAAGAAAAAAAAAATTCTGTGCAATGAAGCAGCGTGCGGTGTTGTATTTCTTATTCATGATACCGAATACTTTTCATTTGTTTATTACCTGTTTGAATTTTTTTTCTGTGAATTACTGATTCTTCCAGACGGTTCTAAATATAAATCCTTAGACTCCGTCGGACTTGATTTTTCCCTCCTGGCCTTTGAGACAAACTACAGCTTAAGGAAAAGGTATTTAGTTTCGATGACACATTTTCTAGACACCGGATCGCTCAGAACCTAAAACATCAGATCATTTCTCTTGCCCTTCCCTCTGTTTCCTGGCATACATTGTACCTATCCTACCTTTTGGAGGTGGGGCATGTGGCAGGTTGGAGAAAGCCATAGATTCTGAGGCTCTGACAGAACTTTAAGGGTTTTCTGGGCATTGCTGGGTGGGTGTTTTACATGTCTCTATAGGAGCCATGAGTGGTAATGGAAAAGCATAGGCCTCGAGGGTCCATCTCCCATGTATTAGCTGTGTGACCTTGGGCAAGATACTGGCCTCTCTGAGCCTCTGTTTCCTTGTCTTAAAACCATTTAGTTAACCAGTGGTTAACCAGTGGTTGCCAACTTTTCATTGTCTCTTAGTTCCCCTCCTTCCCTAGCCCCGTTGGACCCTCTGTTTTTAAAGATTTTGATCTTTAGTGCTTATGAATTGACCTCTTGGGCATTCTTGTCACATGAGTTATTGCTGCTGGGTTTTGTGAAATACTAAACGCAGCTGGAGGACCCCATCCTATGTAGCACCATCAGAGGCCTGCAGGCGTCTGGACACCCCGCGGTTAAAGGGGTGAAGTGTAGAGTGGGAGTGAAGAGTAGATGAAATGACCGGTCGGTTCTCCGATCACTTGGAGATGACTTGGTGTTGAACCTTGTATTTTCCATAACCTCCGAGGCAGGCAGGGCAGCTGTCGTTTCCAGTCTGACAAAGCAGCGATTCTTAGACGTTGAGACTTGCTCAAGGCCACAGAAAACATCAGGGCAGGGACTGCCCCGGTTGGTGTGCCTTCCCTGGACAGGGCAGCTGCTCCATGGCCTTTCGTATGGGCCCATGTGCTGTGGGTGTCTCATCCTCCTACCACCCAGTAGTGTACCGGCCCCTGCAGGCACTCAGCAAAGGTGGCCCGGGCCTTCTTACCTGTCCCCCTCGCCCCCAGGTACGTGGTCATCTCTCGGGAGGAGAGGGAGCAGAACCTGCTGGCGTTCCAGCACAGTGAGCGCATCTACTTCCGGGCGTGCAGGGACATCCGGCCTGGGGAGCGGCTGCGGGTCTGGTACAGCGAGGACTACATGAAGCGCCTGCACAGCATGTCCCAGGAGACCATCCACCGCAACCTGGCCAGAGGTGAGTGCCTGTGCTGCATTGCCAACCCAACAACCCACAGCTCTCTGCTCCGGAGTCTAAGAGCTAGCGTACAATGCTTTATGGCCTCCAGGCAAATCTAGTCTATTCTTTCTTCCTCCTGGTCTCATGACTGGCAGCCCTAATGATACGATGTGAAAGAGCAATCTCAATCAGAAGAAGATGGTTGGCAGGAGGTGGGCAGGTGATGGGCAGGCTGCTGGGCTGAGTGTCCACCCGGGGTTCCCTTTAAATGAGTCCTTTGCAAATGGTTTCAAATACTCCCCAGTCCTTTACGTCTTCACTCCCTTCTCAGCCTCGCCGGGGTGAACTGGTAAGTCCAGGTCCTTCTTCAATAGGATCTTTTCTGCATTGAAACCACATATCCAAATACCCAGTGTTCATGTGGTCCCAGGAAGCATGGCTTTTTCCCAAGTCCCCCTGTGTCATGTTCCTGACCAGCCAACTTATTGGAAATAAATCTTCATTTGGAACACAAACAGAGAAGATCAAACGGCGGGTGGGGGATGGGAGTGGCCTTTTGAAATTAAACTGTTTTTAAAAACAAGACAGAACAAAGCCAATTGTGGACATTGGGTGACAGCTGCTGCCTGGCTTGGTAAAAGGTAACTGGTGATTGAATGAGCAGTGAGAAGAGACCCATAGACATACTCATCTCTTGTCTCCTTCGGATCTGGGGGTTGGCTCATGCTGATGGTACTTGGGAAGGCGTGCTTCTATGACGGGATTGCACTGGTTCCCATTTGACCTCTGGAGATGCCTCATGTAAAAGTGTGTAATACAAAGTAGGTGCTCAATAAATCTTTGTTGAATGGATACAAGAAGAAATGAATGAAGACAGCCAAGACGTTTCCAAAACAAACATACCACCAGAAGAAAAGAAAACCAAGAGAAGTCATACCTAAGGATACGGGTGTCATTCCTTGGCCATAATCTTCTTGAATTCTTCTGGATTTGTAATGTCTCTTTTCCCCCCTATGTCTTCTCCAAAGCACCTCAAACTGCATCATCCTCAGAGAGGAGCCCTGAGATCCATGAGGCCTGCTTAGAGAAGGGAGTGAACTTTCGGAGTGGTTCAGAGGAGACGTGGCAGACAGACTTGAAAGGAGAGCATCTGAGACATGTGAAGACACAGAGGAAGGAGTATCTATTCCTGGCCAGGCTGAGCAGTAGGAAATAGGAAAGAACTGAAAGCTGCAGCAGGGCAGTGCCAGAGCTGTGGGGAGTCTGTGCCTTGAAGGCCTGCGAGCAGACATGGAGGCCAGTGTGTGTCTCGGCAGCCTGGAGCTTCAGCAGATGCTGGGTGCTTTCAGTGGTGTCTTAGGTTGGCATGCCAGTTCTGCTCAAAGACAGGTCCCCTACGTGCACTTACTAAGGTCTTACGTGAAAGGAGCTGTCTTTGTCATTGGAGACTGGCACCCCAATGAAGCCCACAGTATGAATTATTAATCCTTATTAAGTAGAAGTATAGGTTGGAAACCCCAAACTGCTTTCCAAAGAGATTGTAATTTTTCCTTTGGGCTTTTCATTGAAGAATAGGATACATTTAGTGCTTATGCTGTTAAAAAAAAAAAAGGTTATCTGATCTACCTCAATGACTTAAGAATTTATTGGTTTTTCTTTTCATACTGCACATAGGAGGCTCTGGAATCAATTTCATAATACTTAAAGGTCCAAAAAGGTCTCCCCCTCATTCTAAGAACTTCTCACAACTTTTCTTTAAGTAGAAAGGCATGATGAAGCTCTGGTCATTTGTAGCTATGACAGTCCCCTGTCCACAGCTGCTTGCTGTCTGGTTGACCCATAAGAAAGTAAAATGGTGGCCCTTGATTTTTAGAGCTCCTGAATGAGCAAGCTCTGAGCTATGAGACAAACGTGTCGCATTTTTTTTTAAAGTTCTTTTTTAATCTCTTCCCTTTCTGCAGCTTAGCTGGTATAGATATGCAGGCTGTGGGGGAGCGGCCTGAATTCCAGAAGCCTTGGAGATAAGGTTGTTCCTTAACTATTCATGTGAGGACAGCAGAGGGGCATCCTGAATAGATGACTTGCTTTTGTGCTGTTACCATACAAAACTGGAGTCATACGCGGGACAGGACAGGCATAGCACCCAGGCCTGACGCAGGGAACAAAGTATGAAGCATCCGGGTTGCTCATGGAGATCCCTCGGCCCTTATTTACAGGCCTTTAGCAAAGGCCTACTACAGTGTCCGTGCAGGTCAAGTCATTGGTCAGAGTCATCACCCAGGGCTCCAGATCTGCTCTAGGAAGCCTTGGAGATTTCTGAGCCCACAGGCTACTATAGGAGCTTCTGAGGGCTAAAGAGATTCCTCTGCCTTCTTGGCATCTCTGTCCCAGGGGGTAACAGTTCATTAAACCATGTCACCCATCTTTAAGAATCAAGGCAAAACTAATGTCTTGTTAGGGAGTTCACCAAAGTATGTGAAGTAATTCAAAGTGAATTAAAGTAATTCACTTGATAAATAGAAAAGGAAACTTCTTTTGAATTGTCGGGTCGGGAAGCAGCTATCTTTTGAGACTGCCGTGGGTCATTATGGGCTACCTTGTCCTGTATTTTGTCGGAGGCCACCATCTTGGAGGTACCTGTCTTGCCTTTCCTTCTAGACCTTCGTTGCTAGAACCACAGACGTTCAGATCATACTTTCTCACACATTCCTAGACTTCTGGTTGCTGGGGGAGTTACACAGGGCAGTTGCTACAGCGTGGTTCCCTAAGTGGGCTATCTCCAGAGCGGCCGGGGGGAGAAAGCACGGCTCGTCCTATTTCACCTGTACCTTTTACCAAGTCGAAGCAGCCATCTTCTAATTGCTAGGGCCCGAGGAGAGGCCTCAAAGGCTGGGGGAATCAGTACTCACTTGGCTCTGAGGTACGTTACCACCCACCCAACTTCATCAGGTGGGATGTCAGTCTTACAGGGTCCTAGGACGGCAAGTCCTTTTGGAAGACATTCCAGTTACCCTCCCCTGTAGATTTCTCTCAGCCTAGAAGGATAGAGCTTATATACATGAGGCTTCGTCAAAATTATGTCTTTAAAAAAGGTCTTTCCGCTTTTCAGGTTCTAGGACTGTAGTTCCCATGATGCACCAAGTGGCCCACGAGGCCATACCCAGGGGGATGTGCCAGGCAACTTCCTAACAGGAGGCCTGCTATGTTTTCTGTTGATTTCTCCACTTCGGGGGTTGTCCCCACTTCCTTACGCCCTGGTTTTCCTTCCTAGGAGAGAAGAGATTGCAGAGGGAGAAGTCTGAGCAGGCTCTGGATAACCCAGAAGACCTGAGGGGTCCCATTCATCTCCCCGTGTTGAGACAGGGCAAAAGTTCCTACAAACGTGGCTTTGATGAGGGGGACATGCACCCCCAGGCCAAGAAGAAGAAGATTGACCTCATTTTCAAGGATGTGCTGGAGGCTTCGTTGGAATCCGCGAAAGTGGAAGCACACCAGCTGGCACTGAGCACCTCGCTGGTCATCAGGAAAGTCCCCAAGTACCAGGACGATGCCTACAGTCGGTGTGCCACAGCCATGACCCATGGCACGCAGAACGTCAGCCGGACCCAGGGGGAGGGGAACTGGAAGATGCCCCATGGGGTTTCCAAGGAGCCAGGCCCATTGGAGGATGAGGAAGAGGAGCCTTCATCATTCCAGGCCGACAGTCCGGCAGAGGCCTCCCTCGCGTCCGACCCGCATGAGCTGCCTACCACCTCCTTTTGCCCTAACTGTATTCGCCTAAAGAAGAAGGTGCGGGAACTCCAGGCGGAACTAGACATGCTTAAGTCTGGGAAGCTTCCTGAGCCCCCCGAGTTGCCACCACAGGTACTGGAGCTCCCAGAGTTCTCGGACCCTGCAGGTAAGTTGGTATGGATGAGGTCACTGTCGGGAAGCCAGCACACGGTGGGCTGTGTAGTGGGTGGCCTAAAGCTCTCCGCTGGAGCCGCCCTCGGGGAGACCTGAGGAGTGTAACACAGAGGTGGCCACTTCCGTGGGTGGGAGCCCACGTCCTCGGGTGCCTCTGACAGGCCTGTTCCGGCTCTGGTGGGGCGCTTCTCGTGTTGCCCTTGTACCCTCCTTGTCAATAAAGGAAGTTCCGCGCAGACGGGGTGTGTGCTGTGTTCTTGACCCGTTGCCTTTTTCCGATGGTCCTGCTGGTGTCCTGCCCTGAAGCCCCACTTCGAAACCTAGTCTTTCCGTCTCTCCAGTCCCAAGCAGGGTGTCCTGCTGGGAGCTCTCATGGCTTCCCCAACTCAGTCCAGGAACACAGCCCTGTTCTTCTCTTCCTGAGGTCCTGTCCCACGTGGCCCATGCCTCGGGTGTCAGAAGGGTAGCGATCAAGGATCCAGGGCATTTAGGTACCTGCCCTTGCCCCTTTCTCTTGGCTGCCTGCATCTCGTAGAGTCGACTGACAACTTGGGAGGGTCTCGTTGCACACCCACAGCTGACTTAGATCGTGTACTCAGCACCTCCTTAGCTCAGAATGGGGTGCTTCAGACATTCAATGCATGCATCTGAACTGAACCACATTTGATCCCAACATGCAGGGCCATGGCCTCGCCGCTTCCTTCACGTCCGTGGTGGGCAAAGGCGTCCCAAGGCCTCCATGTATACCTGTGGAACATTCGATGTACTTTCCTCCCTCCATCGGCTCTGCTCCTAGTCTGTGCTGTCCAGTTGACGTGGAGTACCCCCGTCTCTGAGCACCCACAGCAGAGGAGGGCAGGCAGCTCGGAGCGTGGGAGGTGGTGACAAAGCCTCCCCCGGGGTAGTCTACGAAGAAGAAAAGTGCCACGCAGAGAGCGAGAGTGCTTATAAATCAGTCCTGGGCTGGGGTCCGGTCTGTCCTAGGTGGGCTCCTGTTTTTTACAGGGTGGCACCGACCTCCGGGCAGTGTTTCCTGTTCATTCCGGAAACGCCTTTGTTTCTTTCACCAGGTGTCAATGTTTCTCTTCGTTTTTTTCCAGCCTCAGAAAGCATGGTCTCCGGCCCCGCCATCATGGAAGACGACGACCAGGAGGTCGATTCGGCAGACGAATCCGTCTCCAATGACATGATGACCGCCACCGACGAGCCCTCCAAGATGTCGTCCGCCACCGGCCGCCGGATCCGGCGCTTTAAGCAGGAGTGGCTGAAGAAGTTCTGGTTCCTGCGGTACTCGCCGACGCTGAACGAGATGTGGTGCCACGTCTGCCGCCAGTACACCGGGCAGTC